TTATAGAATAGAGAAATTTTGTAAACAAATTCGTATCAAATATTGTAAATAGTATAGATTGGGTGTTGTTACAATCATTTTTCTGGCCTGCATCCAGTCCTTCTGTTGCAGTGTCTGTAAAGTGACCACACTGTGACACTCAGGAATTCTTTTCAAACATCTTGGGGGGATGTGTTAAATGACAATAGGCTGGGGTGTGTATTGGCAATTGGACTTGTGGGGGGGTACCCCTCTGTCCCATTTCATGCCTGGTATATACTGTGTCCTTCCTCTATGATTTACACAAGTCGCCTAGTCCTAAACGCCCTTGGCTGGTTCCCTGTCCAGTCACACACTGCTTGCGGCAAATCATTGGTATCACGGCACGCACTGTACATGTACGTGACATGACACGAAAATGACGGAACAGCCGTCAGTTTTGCAAGTGGGGCAACATTCGTTTGGAGTGGGAAAACAGCAACAAAAAGGCAACATTTTTTCCTCCAAACGAGGAAAAGGCGAGTTTTCTGCAGTTAGCATCCCAGAGGATAGTTTACCCCGTAAGTAGTGAACACACCGCTGCAATTTCAGCTCATAAAATCAAGCGGATGTTTAGTTATGCCCGTGGATATCCCGGATAAAGTTTTTAAGAAATCCCTATGAAAGCAGGAATTGAGACAGGGACCAGTATAGAGCTTTTTTCACCCACGTGACTAAATGTAAAAAATACCACCACGTGTGGACCGCCTTGGCCACGGTGATCGCATGTATACCTATGGGCAGCTTCAACCACGTGCAAGCACACATGTGGACGCTGCATGCTTGACTTGTTTATCTTGAATAGGCCTAGGTAGATTACCATGACAATACTAAGCACTTACACCATCACAACACATCACAGGTCCAGCACAATCTTTACATCACTGGAAAAAGGTCTACATGACTAGAGTGTACAAGTACGTCGGGCCCTGTTTACAGGTCTACCTTTGGATAGGCATACTATATCCATAATCATGTAGGCCTACTTAGGCCCGCATCATACGAGACAAAAATGTTTTGAGTTCACTTCACACACTTGCTACTGAGTGCTGTCACTGTACCAGCCTGTACCATGGAGGAAGGTTTTACTGATTTCCAAAGCCTTTGCAATCACGTCGATACTGTATGTGGGTCTGTTGGCCTGATTTCCATTTTTATATTTTTGAAGTGCAAAATGAACACTTTGAAAATGTACCCACAGTGAAGAGAGCAACTATAGGGCCTACTAACGTTACGCCTAATTTTCTGAAAATAAGTTTGTACATGTATGTATATTTAGGGGTCAATTTTGAATTACGCGATATTACAGTGAACTTCGTATATGGAATTCTTCCCATTTGTTCAAGTGTGCCAGAAATAGGGAACAGTCAGCTGAATTTTTGCCAATTCTGGATGGTGTTGGTTTTGAATTTCGGGTTTTTAAATTTCATGACACCAAAATTGTTCCCAGAGGTGATCAGTAGCATGTATTTTAAAGGTTATAATATCATTATTTACTGTAACTGAATGAATTCAAAGTTTTTCAGCGAAGAGGTTTAGCAGTGATGCATGAGGAAAGTCAAAGAAACGTCGAAGAGTGGCACAATTAAGAGACTCAACTTCATTTGGGCCAGGCTAGTGGACTATACCTCCATATAAGTGGCCGTACTCCTAAACTAGAAACAAGTGGAGGAAGGCTTAAACAATGGGATAAAGCTCCCCGGCTGTGAACAGTATCAGCCACATACAGGTATTTCTCAGTTGCCTTTTTGATTAATTCCCCCAGCAACCTATCATGTTCAATTTGCCCGAATGGCGAATTCAGACCATCTTGCCTGTTGGTGAATTATTTATCATCTTGATACCATACTTTTGTTACGACTGTGATTTGCTCAAGATCTTCACTGGCAGTGAACATGTACAACTCCAGACACCAGCAGATGTGATGATCTCTGAGATATTAAGGTGCATCTATCATGTGTTTCAATGAATCAATTTGTAACATAAGCTCCCCTTAGGCTTTCATGCCTGTAAAAGTATGTAGTATGCCAGTGCAGTCATTGCAAAAGTTTAGGACCACTCGTACAAAGTGCATCAACCTGAAGAAAAACCAAACTTAAACCAATCAATCATG